GATAATGCTATTATCAACAAAAAAATGACTTTTATCGATGAAAAATTATGTTGATAAAGGCCATTTTTTTAGTAGTGATAGGTAAGCTTGTATGTTTGTAAATAGGTGGAGTCTCTATAAAGTTAGAAATGAAAAAAAGATGTTAGAAAGTTATATGGATTTATTAGGTAAAGATCCCATAGAACTAAAAATTATTGAAAGAGCTTTATGAAGGGTGTGGGTGTGTGTTTGAGTGAATTAGAAAAAAATGAGAGAGTCTACATAGATATGGTGCATAGATGCACATAGATATGCTTTTATTTGAATTGAAAATATTTTGTAGAATTAAAGAAATATGAAAAGGTTCATGGGTATTGATTATTGAGTGATTGATTGAGATTGTATGTTTATAATTATTTACAACTAGTGGATCTCTTTTTCTTATCTGTAGATGTAGGCCAGCTCGGCTATTCTAAAAATTAGTATCAAAGGCATGTGCAAAACTTGTGGATAAGATTCCTAGCAACTAATATCAAAGCTGTCATGATCCTAACAGATACTAAGAGAAAACTTGACAATTTTAGGATACCCATAAAGACCAATTGAATTTTAGAACCTATGGTTAACTTGATGGTGGATAACCTCAAATTAACTTAATAATATGAACAAGCTGAGAACACTGTAAGAAACAATTACCAATTTATTTTTTGGGAGAAAATCAAAAAGCAAATAGTTTGCTCCAACCCTTAGAGTAGGGGATAAATGTGCAGTTTCCTCACTTGTTTTACTAATACTTATATTTGAATAACACTAACCGGGGATCATGGTGTTCAATCCCAAAACAAATACAAAATTCTTTTGTTACATAATATACTACATCCATAATATTAATTTTGTATATTTTGAAAAAAGATGAAGGTGTTCATGTGATCATGCATCTTTCTTCCAAAACTTAAATTTTTTATTTTTGATTTTTTTTCTTAGATAAATATTATAAAAAAATTAATAGAGGTAAGTTGATAAAATAATCCATATTTGACGTGTCTTAATTCATCACAATCCAATTTGTGCTTTTTTAAATCAAGATCAAGTCAAGATTTTTTCTTTTTGAAAATTGAGATCATGTTAGAGATAAGTTTAATGTGTTTCACCTTGTCTCAAGTATATATAAAAATATCTTTTTTATTATTTATTTAATTTTATGTTTAAATATATTTATCATATTAATAAAATTATTACTCAATACTTTAATTTAATAAATCTACATAATATCCCATTTGGCTTCTCATTTTTTTTATTTCTTTTTTATTTCTTTTTTAATTTTTAACTTTTTTAATTAGATAAATTTTGTAAGAAAAATCAATGGAGATAGGAATGATAAAACAACTCATATCTGATGGATTTCGATTTGCCTCGATTCAATAGATATGGTTTTTTATATCCAAGATAGGGTTGAAATTTTTTTAAAAGTCAAATTTGAAACGAAAGCAAGTTTAGGTTGTTCCGTCATGTCCCATGTATATTAAAAAATATATTTGATTATTTATTAAATTTTATATTTATATATGTATTATATTAATAAATTTATTATTTAATACTTTATTTCAATAAAAAAATTATATTCAGGTGTAATTAAGATATAATTTATATTAAAATTAATATTTTTATAAACATTAAACTAAAATTATCAAATTAATTATTTATCAATTTGGGTCAAATGTAGATTATACATATATGATAGGTCGAGATAGAGTATTAATAAATAATAACTTAATGTTGGGTCGTAATTAAAGTCGAGTTAAATTATTAAAAAGATGGGCTAAAATCGTAGTGAACATAAATCCATCCTAACAAGTTGCCATCATTAAATGGATATATCCATTAGGCACCCCATTAATTTGGCTCCTTTCCTTTTTTGCATGGGCTTTATTTTAGTTTTGGCTTTTTTTTTAATTATTTATTTTATTTATGTTTGAAAAAAAATAGCAATAGAAGTGTCTATGTGGCACCCTATTTAACCTTTTTCTTTTTTTAGGCCATTTTTTTTTATAAATAACATAATTTTTGTAAAAAATAAAGTCACTAGAGGTTGAGATGTCAAAACAATATATATCATATTAGTTTCAGTTCGTTGACCTAATAAAGACAGTTTTTTAAATCAAAGTCAGGTTAAAATGGAATGATTTTTCTTTTTAAAAATCGAGGTCAGATCAAAGGCAGGTTTATGTTATTTTGTTCTGTCCCATTTTAGGATATGTATAAGAATATATATTTTATTTACTTAATTTAATTTTTATATATTATATTAATAAAATTATTATTTAAGATATTTTATTTAATAAAATAATATATTTATATATAATTAAGATGTAAATTTGATTAAAAATTATATTTCATGAAACTATTGAATTGATTTTTGGTCAAGTCAGATGTGAATTATACATATATATATGTCAAGTTGGGATCAGATATAAAAATAATAATCTAATACCGCGTTAAAGTCAAGATGAACATAAACCCGCCCTTACCTAACCCATTATCATCCCTGAGTGAAAGGTGTCCACATGGTATCCCTATTTGACTCTTTATTTTATGTTTTTATCTTGCTTGGCCTTTCTTTTTTTTAGTTGTAGCTCTTTTTTAATTATTAATTTAAGATTTTTAATTATGTTTAAAAAAATAAAATTAAAAAAATTGATTTGTATTTAAATTTGTTATACAAGTTAAGAGAATGAAATACATGTATTATCCACAACTTAATTGATATTTTCACTAATAATTGTTTTTATTCAAAAATTATAAACAAAATCATACTCACTAATTTATTAAATATAAATAAAAATATTTTGGACCTACAACAAAACGTGGGCATATTGCTAGTCTAATATATTAAATTTGTAGAGATTGGATGAAAAAAAAAAAAATATATATCCACTGGCACCTTTTCCTCCCTTCAAAATTTTACTTTTTTTCTAATTTTTTGTTTTTTATTATTTTTGTTGTTTTTTAATTATTTTATTTTTATTAAATCTATTATTATTTTTTTTTACTTTTTTTTTGGTTTTTTTAATTTTATTTTTTGTTAAATAAATTTTGTAAAGAAGATCAATTAAGATAAGGATAATAAAACAATTTGTGTCTAATTGATTTTAATTCATATCGGTTCAACATAGGTGCCTTTTAAAAAAAAAATTACAATCAGATTGAGATTTTTTTAATGGGATTGGGTTAAAGACAGATTTAAGATGTTCTAACTCATTTCAAGTATCCACGTAGCACTTCCCTTATTTTGTTTTTTCTTTCATTCTCTTTATTTTTTTAAAAGCATTTGATTTTTTAGGAATTTTTTTTATTTTTAATTTTTTGTTAGATAAATTTTGTAATAAAAAGTCAATTGAAATAAAAATAACAAAATAACTCGTATCTAATAGATTTCGATCTGCCTTTATCCAATTGGTGAATTTTCTTTTAATTCAGATTAATCAATTTAGTTTTTTTTTTTTAAATCGAACTCGGATCAGACTAAAGTTTTTGATGTTATGTCTCGATCTTAGTGTATATTAAAAACATAGTTTATTATTTACTTAATTTTATATTTACATATGATTTTGTTTAAAAAATATTATTTAATTTTTTAATTTAATAAATTTATACCCCACCTTATTTGACTTATTTTTATCATTTTTTATTTTCAAAATTTTATTTATTAGATAAATTTTATAAAGGAAAAGTTAATAGATGTTGAAATAACAAAACAACCTATATTTAAAGAGTTTCTATTCATCATGATCCAATCGTTGCATTTTAAAAAAAATAATAATAATAATTAGGTTAAGTTTTACTTGATTGGCCTATGTATATATTAAAAAAAAAAAAAACTAACAAAAATAACAATCCGGCTCCTTGTAATTGTATTTTGAAGCCCAATAAAACCAAGGATAGAACTCCACGTTTTAAACTTAGTCCAATTTGGTAGCCCATATGCCTAAGTACTTCTAATCATCATGCTATGACTGTTAGAGAATGGGCCAGATTGTACTTCCCAACCCATCCAAACGCTGTCAAAACTCAATACCAAAAATTACCATGTGAAATATGACAATCCCAGGGGGAACCCTGCATAAGTATAGGTCTAGGAACGGAGTTTAATCTTATGGATAGGTTTGAAACTTCGAGTGGGGGGGCAAACCACGAAGGTGACAAAAGGGGCGCCGTGAATGGTACTAATCTCCTTGTGTGCACCTTGGCATCTGGACGGAAAAAGACGGGCTAGAGCAAATAAGGACGCTACTATATATTGGATCCAAACTTGTCCAATCCAAGGTTGTCATTTGATAATTTGATTTGCTGGAATTGAATTCAGAATTGAAGGATTCAATTCGGATTTAATCGTAATTTAAAAGACAATAAAAAAAGAATGTTATAAATCTAACTCTAGCAATTGATTACAAGTGAAGACCAGCAAATCAATCCAGTTATAGCAGATTAAATAGGCAATTTCTTTAATTATTATAGCAATCTAATCAATAAATTGCAGGTAAAAACTTTAATTTTGACGAAAGCGATTAGGGATTATATTAAAAAGAAAGTCTAATAATCAATAATGACAAAATTACAAACGTTGATCACACTCTTTGATTTTCATTATTTCTTAACATATCCTGATTATTGCAATATTTATAAATAATGACGGATGGTATTTTAGTAAATTGACATCCAAAGCAAGACAATCTCTATCCGGAAAATACCACTTGGTATGACCAAACTAGTGGTACCAGCAACCTTCTCACATGCAACTTCGAGGAAGGAGGACAATTTTCACTGACACAAAAAGCCACAAATCAAAGGCAGCAACTGCCAGCAGAGACAACCTTCTCAAACAGCTTCATTTTTTTATCTCCACCTTTAATTTGTTCCCATTAACACTCTTTCCTCGAACATTTCTTCTCTTTTCCCCCCTTAGCTTTATTCTCTTTCCATCACATATAAATACCTCCCAAGCTACTTTCTTTTGTACCAAACTTATTTCCATTTCAAAAACCTTACAAAAACCAATAGGTTTCTTATTGCGTTTAATACCAAAAAACAAAAAAAAAAAAAAATGGCGTCCCAAAATGGTGTAGTGTTCGAAGATTTTTTCCCTGCCATGGTTGAAAAATTGGGTGCTGAAGGTTTTATGAAGGAGCTGTGCAATGGGTTTCAGTTGCTCGTGGATGGAGACAAAGGTGTGATTACTTTTGAGAGCTTGAAGAGGAACTCAGCATTGCTTGGTTTGCAAGACATGAGTGATGAGGAGGCTATTTGCATGTTGAGAGAAGGTGATTTGGATGGGGATGGTGCTTTGAATGAGATGGAGTTTTGTACCCTCATGCTTAGGTTGAGTCCTGAGTTGATGAACAGTTCAACAAAATTACTGGTAGAAGCTATTGTCAATTTCTAGACCCTTTATCCAACTAGCATTAATTAGGATTGTGTACCCCATGGGAAAAAAAATCAAACCATTAAAAGTACTTCATTTGGGTTTCATTTTCATTATTTTTATCCCCATCATTTGCCAATTATGAGCATCCTTTTTTGCAATTGAGCAAGCGTCCTAGTACTACAATTTCGTTTCTCCTATGCAAAACTAAGGGCCCCGTCTATTTCATCATGCTCACAAAATTGGGTCAATATTGCCGAACCATTTTTCAAGTAACAAGCCGGACCAAACTAGATGGGCCCAATTGCAGCCATTTGTTTTCAAGCAACTTTTTACTGAAATTGAAAGTGTTATTCGATCGGCCCAAAAAAGCGTTATTCCGCTCCAAAAATAATTGTCGCTACATCTCTGAAATTGTTGATGAGATGCTCATAATGTATTAATTTGTTTTTATATTGTTGTCATTACATCAGCTAATTGCTTAACCTTCGCAGTTCCGAACCACCTTCATTAACGTTCAGTTGTTCATTGCTTACTGCTATTACAAAGATTAGGAATGACTAACCATTTAGGAATGACTTGATCATCATTGTAGCTGACATCTCAGAAAGAAGAGTCATTCTTTCAGTAAATTACATTTGAATAGTTAATGTTTAAAGTGCTAGGCTTAATGCCTCCTGAGACCTGTGTTGTGTATCTTCTAAAATATGGAATCACTAGTTAGCTGTTATATATTACACGGAGGAAAATGGGGAAATTTGTTGGAAGCATGAAGTACCACAAAGAAACAAACGAAAACAAGAATAAGAAAGGTAAATTGATCACAGTGAAAACTTTTATATGAGGTTTCAAAGTTGATAACTTGGCTGTTGGTACTTAGTATGGCTCTACTAGTAGAAACCCTGCTTAGATGAAAGAATGAAAGATCACCAGCTATGAACCTTCTTTTCAAACCGCGCACCAATACCTAGCACAATATTGATTCTCATTGAACAAAAGTGCTATCAACAATAGATCTTGTTTGCTTTTGAATAAAGCATATGGAGAGGGCTTTGATTTGATTATTATCTTCCTTAACCCCCTCAGTTGCATGGCCTGTATTTTTCATGATTCTGGATGGAAATTGAAGTCATCGCAAGCGAGAAGCCTTTCATTAAAAGAAACTCTGCCAACCACCACCCCGTCTCTGGCCAAATCCAACATTGTTTTCTTTGATCTGTACAACAGAAGTTCTTGGCACCCAATTACAATACCAGAGAGGTAGATTTCATTGCAACCAAAAGATGAAGTAAGGGTGTTAGGGTCGAATTTAGGATTTAAACTTTGCACATGAAGGCAAGTAGGCTCTGAAATCATGATGAGCCAATAATTTCTTAACTAAAAATTTAAGCTGATAAATTAATTGAAGTAAACTGTCATTATTTTTCCTAACATTGGGAACACAAAAACACCCTTTTCTGATTTGATAAGAGGCTAACTGCGCCATACGATCCGCTCATTGCTTACATCTTCCTTTGTTTTTTCCTTTATAATTACTTTCTTCCAATTTTGGTCAATTACCTCTTACGTATTATGGCCTACACATTATTATTTAAGTAAATAAATATTTGTTTATGGTTTAATAAACTTAAGTAATAAGTTTATTAAATGTTATTAAAGATGATCAATTAAAACAAAAATTTTGTTTAATTAACAAATGTAAACAAAACTTTTGCTTAATAAATGTAATTAAAACAAAAGGGTTTTACTTATAATGAATGAGAGTTTTCTTTTTTTCTATGAAGCAATTGATGAACGTAATTAAAATAAAAGAAAATTTTTCTTTAAAATTTATACGGTGATGGAACGTATAAATTAAATGGCATTAATGAATAAATAAATCGCTTCACTCTTTCTACCAATAAATTGATACATTTTATCTATCAAGAATGTATTTTAAGTTAAAGAGTCAAGAGAGAGAGAAAAACAAAAAAAATTATAAAACACCATTTCTAAATAAAAAATAATTATGGATCAAGGTATGATTTCTCTTCAATAAGAAAATTGTAAAAATTATCTTATTCTAAGATTTTAGACATTAAGATTATATAAAATTAAGATTCAGTTTGCATAATAAAGAAAAATCCAACATATGGTATCAAAGTCTTTGATTTAAGAACCTATGATTTTCCTTTAAAAATTACTTTCTATATTTATTATTATTAATTTCATGATCAATTTTCATGTTGTCATTTGTTGTTAATTTTGCTCCATATTTTGTTGAAAATTTAGAATTTCAATATTTGTACAAGTTAATAATGGTATTGTAGTACTTAATTATAATGTATCTAAAGGCAAATAGTAACTCATATCCTTGGATAAATTAAATATGGTAATAAACCATATTATTAATGAAGAAACGTATAATATAATGAATATATATTTATTAAATTAATGAAAATATATTAAATAGTATATAATATATTGATTAAAGAAGATAACGTAAATAAAAGTTAGTAACTTTGGTATAATAAATATAAGATAAAATAAATGAAACTTAATAGTCACTAAATTGTGAATAATGTAAATGTTGCATTGTGTATGTAGGATACAATAATTATGTAAAATTTATATACAATAGTTTCTAGGTATTTTGTTTACTCACAACAATAACATATTCCACATATGTATATTTTGGATTATTATTAAAATAATTGTTATGATTATTTATTTTGATAATTATAGTATGTATAACTTGTTAGTCACCAAAGTAACCAAATTGAAAAGTTTTATAGATGCCAAATTAAACAAAATTCAATTACTCATGATTATGATGCTATAAATGTGACATGACAATATATATATTGAATAAATTGAAGTTCAATGATTATAAAATATTTAAAAATCAACCTAAGGTAGATTGGTTAATTTTATAATCATGACATAATCGTGGTTGATTAATATAATTCATTAGATATTTTTACATATCCAAATATAGCAAGTATGTCTAATTGGAGTATATATAATTGCTAATTATGTGAAATCAAAATTAAGCATCAATTATGTTTATTGTTGTACATTGTTGGATCACCCAAAAGAGAACTTTAATGTACATTTAATGTTTACATGAATGTTATTTGAATCTGTATTATGTATTTAAGTTACAACTCAAAACATTAATGTATGAGCATTCTATCTATTTTGCAACAGCTATTTTTGTTTCTTTTCATTCGAAAGCTTTGTCTATTACAAAGCTTAATGGGCTTAATTTTTTTTAATGGTGTGAACAAGTATAGTATCATTTAGGCATTCTGGATCTTAATTTGACACTCCTGACTGATAGACCTACTGTTATTTCTAATTCTAGCATCATTGAACAAAAGCCTTTCATAATGCTTGGGAAAGATCAAATAGACTAAGTTTAATGTTTATGCGAATCATAGTAGTAAACAACATTAAGTCAATGATTCCTAAAATTGATAATGCTAAGGAATTTCTAAAGTTTGTAAAAGATATGTTTCAATCTAACTCTGTTGATAAGTCACTTGCTAAGAAATTAGTAGGTACATTAACTACCATAAAATTTGATGGTTCTCATACCATGCATAAGCATGTCACTGAAATGTCAAACATAACAGCAAAATTAAGATCCATCAAAATGGAGTGAGTGAAAGTTTTCTTGTACAATTTATTATAAATTTTTTGCCTCATGAGTAAGATCCATTCTAAATAAATTACAATACTATAAAGGATAAATGGAATGTGACTGAACTACAAAATATGCTTACTCAAGAGGAAGCAAGGCTTAAGAAGCAAGAAATTCACTCAATTAATCTTAGAGGCCAGCCATGAGCTAAAAGGAAACTTGTAGACACCTCATTTCCTCTGGGGCATACGTTTGAGTTCTCAGTTTCAACTTTTGTTGAAAGCATTAGGTTTTTGAAATGTTTATTAGGCTTTTTAGGCCTTGAATGTATTTATCCAATTAATGTTTTGACTGTAATACGAATAAATGGTTTGCCTCTTTAGGTGAGGGTTTTGGCCCAGTAACATTTTTTTGTTAATAATTTGTTACTGTAATTAGAATTAAAAAAAGGAAAAAGAAAATAAAAAAATTTTCTAAAGAATTCGATCTAGGAATCAAGGCTGATCAAAATTGGAAACTAAAATTAAAATATCATTGACCATAATTAAATAAGATTAAGGCAAGGATTAATGCACCAAGAATCAAGCCACAATTTGAATCGAATCTGGCAAATTCGATCTCTAATAATTAATGAGTATTCCTTAAAATTTTTTATAAATATATATAAATCACGCTCAAACCCATACAAGAACACACAAAGAGAAAGGAAATTTTTCACAAAAAAAATTAATTCTTTTTTATGTGGAAAGCTTTATTTTTTTTTTTGGTATTATTTTGGGATTATTGTTTTAGAGGGCATTGGTTTTGATTCTGGAATTTTGGCATAGTTTTGGGTTAAATTTCTAAGTGTTCTTGAATTTCCAGAATAGGATTTTCTTGGATTTCTGGGTTTTTTTTTTTTTTTTGGGTTTTTGGGTTTTTTTGGAAAACCTATTAAATCTTTCAATGATTGCTTGAAGTTTTTAATAGCCGAAGATTGACTCTTGGATTTTACCTTGAATTTCCCAATGTTCCTAAAAAGAGGTTGGAGAGAAATCATTTTAGAGAAAATGAGAGTTTAGGTGTTTTTGAAGAAAAAATTGAAGGAATTTGGCTTTTATATTAGGTCAGAAATGATGCCATTTTGGGATAAGTCTTGACCTACTTGACCCGTTAGATCCACATCTCTCCCATTTTGTGACCCAACCCGATCATAGGTATTTGCTTTTTCTTTTTCATTTGATTTTTTGTTTTATTTTAGATTTTTTTTACTTATATTTATTTTTATTATTCTTAATTGTTAATTGAATAACTTATTTTTGCAAGACACTTTTATGAATTTTCTGTTATTTACTTATACATAAAAAAAAGTTTTAAAAATATATTCATAAATACTACCAAACTATTGGAAGATTTTTCATAGCTTTAAAGTTTTTATGAATTCTACCAAATTATTGGAGAATTTTATAATTCAATTTTTATAGAAAAATAAAATAAATTATTTTATCTTAATCTTATCAAACTATTGGAGGATTTGAATCTTAAATTAAATCTTACCAAACTATTAGAAGGTTCAAAGAATTTTTAAAAATAAATTTCAAACATAATTTTACAATAAAATCTCACTAAACTATTTGAAAATCTATGTCAAAGTAAATCTTACCAAACTATTAGAGGATTTTACTAGTTATTATTTTTTTCTTCTGAATAAAATATGTTAATAAATTTGACAATGGAGCCTCTTCAAAGTATGACATTGGTCTCTATGAATACTCTTGAGGTGAGAAATTATTTTAAATTACTACCAAACTATTGGAGTAATTTTAAGATCAATTTTCAATAATTAAATTATTCAGTAAAATTATAAAGAAACTTTATGGCTTGGATAATTTAAAATCAAATTGGTACCATCTTTTAGATAGATGCTGTGAGAGTATTATAACCTTCCCATGAGTAATTGTACTCCCGAACCTAAAATCTAGTTTCATGGACTAGAATTTTCAATTTAAAGATACCTAAGTTAATCTTGAAATTTATCTTTAAATGGGATAGATTTAGTTATGTGGCCAATTGCACCTAAACAAAAAATATTGGTGGTGACTCATAAAATCTATGTCTAGCGACAGGTCTATGGATCTATATGTTATGATAATTTGATGACTCTACTAAAAATATAGAGAGTTAGGCTAGTAAATGATTTTTTATTATCCAATCGTAAACTAATAAATTTAAGAATTTTTTTCCTTTATTG